ATGTATAGATTATCCGTTCTGGGCTCTGAAAATCCAGCCAACCATTAAATGGCAACAAAAATAAAGAGGAAAAAAAAAATCCTTGCCTTCTAACCATCATTCAGATTTCTACAGCCCATGTCTGGTTGTCCTAAACAATATCAAACTAGGATTCTACAGATTAGCATGTGGCTTAGTTTACAAGTAAGTATGAATTAGCTGAGCCACAATTAGGCACGTGAGAAGGATATTGGAGAGGCAATGTGTTACTGAATTCCCTTCCAGTTCTGAAATATTTTATCAAAAGCATCCTTTTTATCTGTTTGCTGGGTCAAAGCTGCAGTTCCTAAGTTTTTTTTATTTTTTATTTTGCACATAAATCTAAAATAATGGGAATAGCAGCTGCAGTGCTTACCATATATGGGATATTGGCAGTTGCTTGGTTCTGCTCTTGGTGTATACACTTGATGCCTTTTAAGGGAACTTGGTGCCTGCAGAGTGAAAATAACCAGAAACCAAACATGTATTTCATAGACCTGCCACTTTTGTACTCTTAGGAGCATAGGAAAACTACAAGCTCCAGGGATTAACTTCAAACTTGAATAGAAAAGAAAAGAGTTTTTTTAAATTCAGAAATCTTAGATAAGGTCTCCAGAATAACAGATAAAATTATAGTCCGAGTTCTTCATACAAGATAGTACTGTTGTGGCTTGTCTCTTGGCTTACACATTACTGCAAAGTTTGACAAAATAAACTGTTGTCTTTGCATATATTTTGAGGTAAAAACTCCACTGAATTCAATACTAATGTAGTAACTTTTGAAGTATTTTCTATTAAAAAAAATATGCAGGCTACAAAAAATGTCGAATGCCGTATCATGGTCCTGTGCTGCTCTCACAGATGTTCTTGGTTATATTCCCATTCCGTTCATGGAATACATCACATAAAACTCTCTTAAATCTTCTGTATTACACTCCTTTTGACTGAAGATGAAACAGTTGAAACTTTGTGGGTTAAGTACATTTGAAGATAAGGACATTTCTTTGACTAAACTGTTTTTAACATTTTCCATTTCTTGGCCCAGTAAAATTAGCTGGCTTTTTCTTTCAAATCATTTTTTAATTTCACAGGTATTCTTATATATTTATCTACAGTGCTTTTTTTGTTAAAAAAAAAAAGGTGCTGGAACTCACACACGTCATACAACCCTCCTTGCCTACCCTACAAGGTTCCATCCAAAAAAGGTGCCGGAACTCCATTCTGGGCGTTTTATGACAAAAAAAAGCCCTGTTTATCTATATACTACTAAAACCCTCATTGTGATCTTTAACTGGGTAAAATAGTGCATCATACGGCAACAAGGTGCCTCAAATGGGCTCATGTACAGAATAAGAAGAGAGGGAAGAAAAGGGGAAGAGGGAGGAATGGAAAAAAGGAAAGGGGGAATAGGGAAGGAAAGAGGAACATGGAACATGGTGGCCTAGGACACCCCTGTACAGTTCCCCAATTCACCCCCTCCCCGTGTACCTTCCTCAACCATGTAGTACATCTTGCGCATCCTCACATATCTTCCCTGACCCTCACCATCCCTTGTGTACTCCCGTGTACAATTGATGAGCCACACCCCAATGTGCCTCCTTTCTCCCCCTTGCTCCCTCCTTTCTCATCTTGCTGATTTTCCCATTGGTTTTCTCCCTACAAGCTTACCGCAGACAAAGTAAATGGAGAAGCCAGCAGGAATTCTAAGGAGGAAGGGAAAGAGGGCGGAAGAAAGGAAAATAGGAAGGATGCAGAAGGAAGGAAGGAAAGAAGTAGGATTGCTAATCCTCTAAAGGAGGATATCTAATAACCATGAAGGTGCAAAAAAGCAACTTCCAACTTCCACAAGGAAACTCAGTGGGGAAGCCTGTAAGAAGTTGGGCATTGCTTCCATATCCAGTGCCTTTTTGTACTCTCGTGGTCATTTTATTTCTCTGTTTAGTCAAGGAAATATTTCTGAAAGGATGACCTAACAGGGCACAGGTTGTTTAATATGCCACAAAAGATGATAATATTAGTGTACAGTTTTAATTTGGTATTTTATACTGCAACAGCTACTTGTCTGGCTGAGTAGTTTGACAAATCATAGTTAATTAGATGAACCATCACATTCTATCCATGAAAAAACTCAGACAATATATTTCGCTCTGTAGTTCCAGAGATCTTATCTAGAAGAATTTCTGAATTAAAAAATGTGTTCCCATCTGTTCAAAAGGATAATACACAATACAGTGAAGAGTGGGAATGTTAGATGTTTTCTGTCACAAATTTTAAATGCCACACTGGCTTGGTTCCCTCAAACATAATGTATAGGTAGTCCTCAACTTACAATAGTTCATTTAGTGACTGTTCGAAGTTACAAAGGCACTGAAAAAGCGACTTACGGCCGTTTCTCATACTTACAACCATTGCAGCATTCCCATCGTCATGTGATCAAAACCCAGATCTTGGCAACTGAGTCATATTTATGACAGTCGGAGTATCCTGGAATCTTGTAATCACCTTTTGCAGACTTCCAACAAGCAAAGTCAATGGGGAAGCCAGATTCACTTAACAACCATGTTACTAACTTAACAACTCTGGCAAGAAGAGTCATAAAATAGACAAAACTCAATGGACAAAACTCACTTAACAAATGTTTCACATAGTAACACAAATTTTGGGCTCAATTGTGGTCGTAAGTTGAGGACTAGTTGAAGTTAATTTTTTGCTAATGTGCGAACATATTGCTATAGACATACTCAACCAACAGAGATTTGAAAACTGGCATAGTACTGTATGGCAGGTTTATAATATTTATTTTGATTAGATACTACTTTCATGTTTCACTCTGGTGCCTTTTGTATTAACTTTTTGAATTACTGTTTGGGGGGAAGGGTATTTATTTAAGCCGGTTTGGGGGGGGGGATATTCTGTGACTGCCGTCTCCTTTTCAGATTTAGGGAATTAAATGCCAAGACTTTGGAAAGCTGCAACAGTTTGAAAATTTATTTCTGTAGGAATAGAATAGAATAGAATAGAATAGAATAGAATAGAATAGAATAGAATAGAATAGAATAGAATAGAATAGAAATGGAAGGGACCTTGGAGGTCTTCTAGTCCAGCCTCCTGCTTAAGTAAGAGATAAAGCAAATTCATTCTATAGTATTTTCTTTATTACTATGATATCAGGCTGCAAAAATTTGACAACCATCATTTCAGCAGCAGAGAGTTATTGTAAACTGTTTTGGCAATATTTAGTGGTCAATTAGATTATTGTAACCCAGATATGGTAGCACTTGTGAAATTTATACTAATGTTTTTGCATTGCATTGTAAACACACTGTGAAAAGTTACAAAGTAAAGACAAATAATTTTTTTAAAAAATACAACAAGCTATTTGCTTTATTCAGCAAGATAAAATATACTCTTCTGTAACTACAGTATGTGAATTTTTCTATACATATGTAAGAAGCAATTATAGCTATTTTAGTCTATGAAAAACATCTAAAAGTGGCAATTATTGGGTATTATTGGCACCAAAAATGGTACACTTTGTCTTATATTGATTTTGAAGACAACCCTCTGGATTGAAATAGCTAGCTAATATTTTGAACTTCAAGTTGCACTAAATCAGTGATCATAATTTTCTCTCACAATACAGATCTCATACCAGAGCTAATTGTGCATAAATTAACCTATCGTATTTAAAATTAAAATATTTGTACTTATTCCAAATAATACTTTGGCCAATATACACGCAATCTACAGTTTACCTTTTTGGATATATTTTATTATATCCTGATTTCTAAGATGTAGAGCAGTGTTTTTCAATTAGTGTCCATTGAAACTCTAGGTCATGATTTAAAATAAAACCCTGCTTTTTGAAATGCTAGTACTTGCAGTGACACAACCTGGATTGCTGATGTTGTAGACATTGTAAATCATAAATTGTGTAAATTAGAAATGAATTGTATTGTGAAGTATTTGTATTTTTTGCCAGAGTTTCCTGATAGCTGAAAATTATTTCAAGGATTCCTCCAGTAAAAGAATTAGGAAAATATACTAGAGATATTGATTATAATAAAAAGAGATATGAAGCTGGCTGGCATTTCAGTTATTCTGTGTATCTGTATGTTAAAGGTGTGTCTGCAAGAGAGAGAGGGAGGGGGGGGAGGGAATAAAAAAGTTAGATTTAATTGTGTTTGCTTATTCTCATTTAATGCAATTGAAAGCCTGGAAATTACTACTATGAAATAAAATAATTAAAATACTATTTGATCCAGTTGTTGCTGTAACTGATTTGCAAATTGTAATCCACCTTGCAGTGTTTAGGATTCCAAAGGTTTGTCCAACTGATCTTTGCTTCTTTTTTGAAGACTGCATCCTCTCTTTGTACATTTGACAATTGTTGATTTTTAGGGCAAATGGTAAGAGGTGAATAAAGGGAAATGGTCCTTTGCACATTGATCCTATGTCTGTTTCTTGCCTTGACAATTCTTAGTTGACTAATGTCATTATGTTGGAGGGATATTCTTATCTTTAATGTTTTGTTGATCTTATTATCATTTCTTTGTTTGATTGTTTTTTGTTTTAATTATTGCAAATTATTTTATTCTTTTTTATTATATTGCCATAGATCTTGATATATTATACATTATATTATTTCAATACAATAATGTTTATTGGAGATTATTAGCTTTCTATTATTTAGGTAATTTAGGGTGTTGAGAATAGAGAAAGGAAGAACAAATATGCTATCAATATTAATTACGATTTAGAGTATCAATGTTACTTACATGCATAGAATTATTTGACTTTTTCATCCAAATTTGCATATGACATTGAAACAAGAACAAGAAGTGGCATGTGATAGGTTGTTGTGAATCCAGTTTTTAATCCACGGCTTTACTTAAAATGAATGCATTTAAATAATGCTATATCCATATATTCAGAAAACTATAGTATAGTTATAAGGTGTATTGTGTAATGCCTTTTTTTAGGGTCGCAAAATCAATGAAAGTACCGGTGTATGAAACACCGACAGGATGGAGGTTCTTCTCAAATCTGATGGATTCTGGTCGATGCTCCCTGTGTGGAGAAGAAAGTTTTGGCACTGGTAAGATTAATACTCTGAAAGTATTTCGTAATATTGTTAAACTACAGCACCTACTCCATTTTACAACTCTAAAAAGATTATTAAATAAATTTCTGCTGAATATATTAAACTTAGAGTCAGGTCTCCTATGTTACCCAAATCTCTATACATCAGATTAGTTTCTGTTAATTCTGAACTTTTTGATCAAAAGCAAATACAGGATGTCTAGAAGACTTCTTTGATGCAGCAGAAAAAGATTTTGTTCCTATATTAGCAGCATATTGGCATTTACCCAAACAATAAAAACATGCTAAATTATATATAAAACATTTGGGAGGTTAGGAAGAACATTATACATACAAATACATACAAAAACAGCAAATAAAGTAGTTAGTTCACCTGGAGAGGACATCATGGGATTCCATACTGTATGAGGTATATACAAAAAGAGGAGAAGGTCAAAGAACGTGAGGCAGACCCAGAAAAAGATGGATAAACATCAAAGATACACTACAACAACATCAACTAACAATGGTTGAGGGTGCCAGAAAAGCAAGAGCTAGAATTTTGTATCTCTCACGACACCCAAAGCGGTAAAAGAGGAAGTGAAGAAGAAGAGAAGAACAATAATGCATAAGGAAGCACTTAATGATCTCCAAACCATTTTAATGCCAAAGTGAAGGTACATGGAGGATGCCATCAGTGGCCAAAGCTGCCATTACATACCATGTTTTCCCCAAAATAAGATCGGGTCTTATTTTGGGGGGTATGGCTTATATTAGGCCCACCCCTAAAAATCAAGCTAGGGCTTATTTTCGGGGTAGGCCTTACTTTCGGGAAAGCACGGCACTTGCGTCTCAGCATCTTATGCAAATATATAAGTTGTAGCATTTGTGTGATGAAGTTACACATGTTTCTTTATTTTGCCCTCCACTGAATAAGCTAATGCCAGTCACTATGTACCATGAAAACTTCTATAAAGAAAAATAGCGAATTCAATTTTGAGTTGGACTGTAGGATTGCTAAATGATTTCTCTCTTGCCCTCTCAGTCTACTTAAAATGTGAATCAGAGCAGCAACTTAACCATATATGAACATGAATTTCTAATGTGTGCTTTCTGCTTGAAATGTATATGTGTTTTCAGTAGAAATTTAACGATGAACTCTTCCAAAGTATATTGGCACGATCAGTATTTATCTATAAAAGATTCTACTTTATATTTCATCCATTATACTTAGTATCTTTGGTATGTAAGCTTTATCTTTTATTTTAAAAAATACCGTTTAAAGAATAGAATAAATAGCTATATAAAAGGAAAAATGTGTGAAAAGACCTGGTCAATAAATTATTACAATTATCATAAAATTTAAAATTCATTATTTCATTAATTAAATGCATAGAACTAGATTCACAGTATCATCTTAAGAAATAATTAAAAATCTATATACATTTCTAAATAGTAATATTGACATTGGTATTAATGATACCATTTGTCATGGTGCCCAGAATAAATGCACATAATCACGTAAAGTAAAAGAAAAGAAGAAAAATCAGAAGAGAAAAGAAGTAGAAAAATCAGTAAAAACAACATTAAATTCTAAATTTCTTCCCAACCTGACTTATGATTGCATCAAGATACTTATAAACAGTGCAATTACTTCTGTCTGTAAATTCATTATTTCCCTTGATCATATTCTTAATGTCTGAGTTTGCCTTGTATGATATAGGATATATGGGAACCATTCTTGCTTATATTTAGTAAAACTCTTTTTTTTTTTTTCATTTTTGGTGCTTCTAGTTAGTGTTGATTTCTGACAACTGCCTGGATTAGTCCCTGCAGTTTTCTTGGAAGTTTTTCAGAGATTATTTGCTTTTGTCTTCTTCCTATGGTAGAATTAAAAGAAAATATCTTGCCCAAAATTATCCAGCTAGTTTTCTTCTTAAGGCATTCCCAGTCTCCCAGTTTCTACCCCATTGCCTTTAACCATTATATTAAACTGGCTCTTTCTGGTTGTGTACTATTAATTGATAAAGTGTTCTGTCTCTTAAATGCTGGAATTTTAAAAAATGCAGTCAATAAATGTAATTAGGAACGGGGACAGTCTGGAGAAGTTGAAATATGTTGTTTTATGTATGTTGCATAAGCAAAAATTATCAATTGCCCAAATACTAGTCAATGACCTCCAAGGTCCCTTCCAACTTTATTACTATTACTATTACTTTTAATATAGTAAGAATATTCTGACATATTTGGGAAGTGCAGTAATTCACTGAATAGCAGTATCTCTGTTTCCAATCCAATTGAGATTATCTCTTAGCATATAACATGTCTACTATTTTTCCCATAGGATCTGACCACATCCGAGAGAAAGATGGACTTTGGGCTGTTTTAATTTGGCTCTCAATCATGGCAGCTCGAAAGCAGGGTGTGGAGGAAATTGTTAGAGATCATTGGACAAAATTTGGCCGCCACTACTTTTGCAGGTGAAGAGTTATCAGCAGATTAATAGCCATTCTAATTCAGGTTTTTATATCATATGTTTTATGCCTTTGAGAAATAATGATAAAAGTAACTACAATTATGAGTGTGGATGTGGGCAATAACTACAATATTGGTTTGTACTGGAGCAAGGAGAAGTGATAATCATTGTAAAGTGAACTCCTGCATTCAGATAGAGTTTGACTGCTATTAATTTATATAGCCAAGATATGGAGTTTCATTTGCAGACATTTTAAAAATGAATAACGGCATACCCCAAAAAATTCAAAACCAGGTATTCTAAAGCTAAAGAAGTATTAAGAATGTTGAAGATGTTTTATCCATGTATTATTTAATTTCACTGAACTTTTATTTGCATTTTATTATAAAAGGAAAATAATGAAATAGATAAACATTGTCCCATAATTATAATATTAAAGCTGTAGTAGTGTGGTTTATACCAGGGGTGTCGTCCAATCTTGGCAATTTTAAGAGTGTGGATTTCAACTCCCAGAATTGTATGTGTGGCTGAGGAATTCTGGGAGCTGAAGTCCACAAATCTTAAAGTTTGCCAAGGTTGGACACCCCTAGTTTATGCCATCATATTTGGAACCATAGGTCTGGCGAATTGGCGAGATGCATTAGCTGACAGTATAAAAATAACATATGGATATGGATTTTCCATTCTTTTCCAAATTAGCAAAACTTTTATTTCTCTGTTCCCAGCTAGATAAGGATTTTAAATTTGTATCACATTTTCCCAATCGAATAAGCTGTATTTCTAAATTAGTTTTCTCCCAACTGTTGCCCTGTAGAAGAATGGATTATGTTTCCTACAATTCCCACACATGGTAAACTGCTTGCAGAAAGATTTTCTTCCAGTATTAACTTAGAGAGTTCTATCATGCAGAATGAAAACTTCCTATTTAACCTTGTTCATTTCCTTGGCAAGCTCATAACATAGCAAACCAGTGACAATGTGTTAAAGGAGTTATAAGTTCCTTCTCTGGGAAATTTGCCCCCCCTCCCCCGTTCCACCATCCAGAGATATAAATGAACAGACTTGAGTGTTTATAGATTGGAAGACTGCTTGCCTCTTTAACCACTGTCTTGCTCATAACTTCTAAGGCACTCTAGATGAGATGATGAAGGAGAAAAAGGAAGGCATGTTTCCTTAGCAGGTTGTAATACGGCAAAATGTAGCATATCCTTGACAACTGTACTTAACTATATGAGATTGATGAGTGAGACTGAGATAAGAGATGGAGTCATTCTGTTTTAGATACCAGGGACCTCTGGTTAATCGTTGTATCTTGTCTTCCCTCTGATTTTCACAATATCATTCAAAGTGCAAAGCAGGTAATTTAGGATTTCCCTGGCTCTTGATAAAGCTCACATGCTTAAAGAGGATGGCAAAAAAAAGAGTAACCGGGCCATCATTTCAGATTACAGCAGGTGTCCAACAGAACCAGATTCAGACTCAGGTGTTTGAATAGAATTAAAATTGTCCATTGTATTTCTAATTTTTCTGACATGAACATCCTTCCACCCCCTACCGGCCCTCAAATCAGACCTTCTCAAAACCTACTGGCCTTTCACAAGGCATTAAAACTTGGCATTGCCATCAAAATCAGAGCCTTGATAATGTGAACGAGCTGTTTCTCGGCTAAATGATTGTGGAAAGATTGGTTGCTACTTTTTATGTATTTATGTGTTTAATTACTGGTTTTGTTTTTATTCTGTTTCTATCCCATTTTAACCATCAGGTGTCAGAGTCATATAAATGCAGCCATACAGATTTAATAAATAAATAATACATATTAACTTTTTACATATTTCTTCTCTTCTCATATTTGCCATACAAGATTTGATTATGAAGCACTGGATCCTAGAATGGCATACTACATAATGAGAGACCTGGAAGCCTTGATCACCGACAAATCTTTCACTAATCAACAGTTTGCTGTTGGAAACAATGTTTACACTGTGCAGAAAGCAACCAGCTTTGAATACGTGGATCCCGTAGATGGCACTGTGACCAAAAGACAGGTATGTCCAGGAGATTTGTTTCACATAACATGCCATCATTGACAGAGAAATAATTGATAAGAACCAGGACAAGACTAAGCAAGATAATTGGGAACTCGAGTAATTTTTAGCTTTTGCTTTATTCTTCACTGCCAGCAGCAACAGCTAGATCTGAGGGGATTCCAAACACAGCAACTGGGAAGAGAAATAGAAAAGTGCATTATTTTTAACTTTTGCTATTATAAATGTGACAGTTTTATTAATGGAAAATATCTCCAAGGCCCAAAATAGTAAGCATAACACGAATCATTTCTATTTTAATTAGCAGACAACCCAACCAAATCCAATTGTACAGATACATAGAATAAAGTCGAAAATTATGTCCTCGTGTTGAATAAGAAAATCAATTATTGTTGCAAATGAACTTTTAATTGCTACAGTATAGTATAGTATACTATAGTATAGTAACATTTACATTAGCAAATGATTGTTCTCAAGAATTCTGTTTCCGTGCCTATACAATATTTATTTGCTCTACAGGGGTTGAGGATTATGTTCACTGATGCTTCCAGACTCATCTTTAGATTAAGTGCTTCGAGCCATGTGCGAGCCACCCTCAGAATCTATGCGGAGAGCTATGAAAAAGATCCTAGCAAGCATGAGAAGGAGCCACAGGTAAATAGAGAGAAATTACAATTATACTTCCAAGGAAAAGATATTCTATATATCAGCGATCCCAACCTTTGTGGCTTGGCAGCCCTGCTTGGGGGAAGGAGGGTGACATGCACATGCAGCTCAACTTGCAAGATTGCAAGTCTAAGCACATTTATTTGAAGCACAAGAGTTGCATTTCCAAATGAATAAATAAATTAGGCTATAAATCCCTGGTTTAAAAAGAGTAGATTTCATCTGCTCTTCCTATGCCTTAAAGCAGAACGTAAGAAAGCTTGTCCTGCTATGCCTAAAAAGATGGCAGCTCAAAAGCCAAGATCAAATTGTTTGTAATGAGAGTGTGTCTTTGGGGGTTTTGCCTGTTTCTATAAAACTACTTTTATGTGCACCATACATGTGTATAGGATACATTCTTTTAATATGAAATTTCCTCATGGAAGAAAAGAAGGAAACATAAGTCTATTAAGATTTATGCACAGATACCTACTTACTTCGCCCTTTCTCTTTTAATTTACTTTCATAAATCTAAATTAAAATTTAATATTTTAAAATAGCTTGCTATTAAGCTAATTTGTCTGGAGAATTACTTTCCTGATGTGTTCCAATAAAATGCTGCAGTAGTACTGCATTTGGGAAATACATCCGAGCAGCTTTTGGATTCCTTGTAAGGAAGAAATGCGAAGCTGCTGGAGAGTTCTTTTTTTGTATTTATAAACAAAATCCATTCTGTACTAAAGAGGAGTTAAAGGCTAAAGGAGTGTTTCAGCAGAATGCAGCCAACATCTCCAGATTCATACTTGCTGTCAATTTTGCCTGATTGGAAATCTTTGCTAGATGGGCTTTCCCAAGAGAAGAGAATGAAGTTCAGTATCTTAATTTTCAGAGGGATGAGAATAACATGCGAAATTAAAAATTAGGGCTTAACCTTACATTCAGGATAACTATCACAGTTGCAGAATAATCTTGCCTCTCAGTAGGAAAAGTATTTGAGATTGTCAAAATTAGCAAGTTATCCAATCCAGCTTTTTTTTTCCAGAGGGAAAGTGCATCTGGGAAAGATTTAAGTTGGGATGTTTTGCTAAAGATCCATTAAGTGCTAATGGTTTTCTTCCTTTTCTTCCCCTTTTCTATTTGGAAAAAAAAAAAACCAATTGGAGCAATAAATTGGGAAACAGCAAGTGCATAAAAACCAGAAAAGGAAAAAACATTTCAATATTGGGAATACTGTTAGGATGCTTAGTTATCAGCTGAGATAACTTAGGAAGTGGGTCCTTCCTAAGTTTTTTCCTCTGATTGTTAAGCCACTGGGAGCGCTCTCTTGTCTCGTTTCCTAGCCCGCAACCTGACCCCAAAGGTCATTCTCATTTACTACTACATATTGTAACATCTTGAGATTTAAAAAAAAGAATGAGCAACAATGTCTGCCCATAGAAGTTTTGGATATCTGGTCCAACTTTTGGCCTATAACTAGGAATAATGAGGTTGGGAATCTTTTCCAAGTAATGTTTTGCTGCAGTTGCTAGAATAACAAGATATTTCTCTTTGTGTGTGAAATGGCATGACTTGGGTTATTTTGTGCCCAGCCAGTGCAATAATGAACATACTCTTTGGAGAAAATTAATCTCCAGCTCATACCCAGTAATCTACTAGAATAGGCAGTGCAATTGGATTACAAGTATTTCTTACACATTGCATTAGGTTATAATGGGGTTAATTGGTTTTTGCTTTACCCGAAGTCACCAACTGTTGCAGAAATAATCTATCAGTGAGTCATAAGTGATCTGCAGACCATTTTTCATGGCATCCAGTATCCCACAACATTGAGTTGGCAGATACCTGCCAGTTGCAGCAGTGACATTTTTCATTAAACAAAAAGCCAAAAAGAAAAAAAAATCAACACAGTACACGAGTTCTGTTAGCCTCCAGTAAATAGTCCTCATTTCCTCATTATAAGCTCTACTACCGTTAAAAAGCTGAAGTGGTGTTTTACAATGTGTATCTCCTAGCCATAAAGTGATTGCTCATCCCTGAATTGTGGGTTAGCTTTTTCAGCAATCTGTAGTTAAAAATCTTCACTTACCTTTAATGTGTGAATTTAGACTGTATATGAAATTTATTTTTATTTCATTTTATTTTTTATTAAACTCCATTACTCCTTCATTTCCCTGTCGTCAGTATTTCTGTAAATTTACCATTCATTGCCATGCCTTTTACATAAACATCATGATATTTAAGAGAGTTGTTTTTCAGTGTGGGCAGGGCATAAGTCAACTGGAGATGCGTCATGGAAAAAAGTAAGACTTTATGTAGTGATTTCCTTTCCGGACACATCTGAGGGAACCTGCAGTGCATTTCTAATAGCTTTTTCAGCCTCTGAAACGCATGCAGGAGTCATACTTCCTGTCCTTTAGCAAGTGAGACTATGTATTTTACAAGATTTATTTTTTTAAGTATTTTGAGATAACCTGGAAAACAATAGGGAATGTTCTGCCAGTAAAATACCTAATTATTTGAGGTATTTTGACCCACCTAATTAAGATCAAGGGGAAACCCTTTTGCAAAAAAGATTGGATCATTGTGGTAATTATTCAAACCAGAATAAATAGAAGTCATGAGGTAAAAAGTGGAGAACACCATGATTTTATTGAGTCCAAAAACACTACACAATTAAAGCTTTGTCAAATGACTCTGTGTCTGGGATTTAGGCAGCATCTCCTATGCAGGAATTTTTTTAAAAAGATTTTTTTCCTATCATTTCCTCTTTGATGGAAAATGCTTCATCTATAGCAGTTTTGAATTAGCTTCTGTTAAATATAAAGGGTAAGAGTAGGTATTGTTAGTAGTAACTCTGTTATATAGAATCTCTGATTACTGAGCAATAATCATGTTTCAAATGCCATTTTCAATGAATGATTTGAAATTAGTGTACAGAATATTTGCTTTTCATAAAACATGGTTCATTTCTCAAGACATTTACGGTAACTTTTACCCAGCAGAGCACTATTGATAAAGGTAGATCCTATAGAATCATTTTGGGAGAAAAATAAACCCAGAGAAAGAAGATATGTTGTAATTATGAGGTACGCTTATGTACACACTTATAGATTCAAAATTAAATTTCAGTGGAGATTCATTTAAAACCATAGCAATGTTTTAGAAAGATTTGTTTCAAAAGGCCAGGCAAGAAGCAATGGATGGAAACTAATCAAGGAGGGAACCAACCTGGAACTAAGAAGAAATTTCCTGAGAGTTTGAATAATTTAATCAGTGGAACAACTTCCCTCCAGAAGTTGTGGGTACTCCAACCCTAGAGGTTTTTAAGAAGAGGCTGGGCATTTGTCTGAAATGGTATAGGACTTCCTGCCGGAGTGGGGGATTGGACTAGAAGACCTCCAAGGTCCCTTCCAATTCTGTTATTCTGTTAAAAAATAGAAATATACAACAAAATCTCAGTGACACTTGAAAGCATTGAAGTATAGTTATTACAATTATTGATTGATTTCCCTTTGTTCTGTAATATAGCTTTTTTGCTTCCTCTTTATTTTCCATTGCCCTCTTAGTTGCTTAAGCAGCATTTTAAAAAAAAAAGACAAATTGCACTGTTTTATCAATGGCAGCAAGAACATGATCCGTTCCAGCACAGTAAAAAAGTTATTAGGTATATTTTATTATCGATGCAGTCTACACAAGTACAGTTATATCAAAAGTGGGGAAATATTCAATGAGATAAACAAAACCTGGTCAAAATGCAAAGATAATTTCTGTTACCTACATAAAGAACAGTCTCTGAAATTAGTTTTGAAGCACATTCAGAAATGCAATGCATTTACATGAGAAACCTTAAGCACCGTGAATGCAGTATGTACAAAACAAATACTTCAAAAGTTTAATGTTTATTCTCTAGATCAGTGATTCTCAACCTTTCTAATGCCGTGACCCCATAATACAGTTCCCCATGTTATGGTGACCCCCAAGTGGATGTGGCCACCAGTAAGAGGGAGTAGGACAGCTAGGGAAAAGGGAAAAAAATGGTGGACACCATGGTTTGGTGACCCCCGTGAAATGATCATTCGACCCCAAATGGGGTCCCGACCCACAGGTTGAGAACCACTGCTCTAGATTCACTACTACCTGAACCCAAATAATTCAACCATTCCAAATAATACATTTTTTCAATCTCTTGTACAACTACCAGTATTAGTTGTCATGGACAAACCAAGCTCATATATTACTTTTTTTTTTTTAGTTTAAAATGTATTTTGTCTTAAAAATAACTTCAGGTGACTAATAATAATAGTGTAAAAGAAATCTGATTGCTTTGCATTGTGCAAAAACTTTGGACAGAAGGGGATTAACTAAAAAAGAAGAAGGACCCCCTAATTCTGATTCTCAGCTTTGGTTAGAGCAGTGGTTCTCAACCTGTGGGTCGGGACCCCATTTGAGGTCAAACAACCATTTCACGGGGGTCGCCGAACAACGCAGTCTGCCATTTTTTTCCCCTTTTCCTTAGCTGTGCTACTCCCTTTTATTCTATTGGCTTTTGAAAGCCAATAGAATAGACTCTCTTGAATAGAGTCTAATTCTATTGGCTTTCAAAAGCCAATAGGAATTGTCCAGGCTGTCTCTGCCCTGCTGAGCCCGCCAAAAGTCCCATTCTGCAAACGGTGCTGCACCAGTTGAGTAGTCCTCGACTTACGACCGGTTGAGTAGTCCTCGACTTACGACCAGTTGGGGGTCGCGACATTAAAAAAGTTGAGAACCACTGGGTTAGAGCCGTTTATTCCTTCCAGTTTTTGAAAGCTGAGGACAATCCATGCTTTCTTCCAAAAATCCCTTGTTCAGCCAGTACCTTGTCTAAGCTGTTCTCCATCTTGGAGCAGAAAGTCCTTCCATGCAGAAAGGAAATGAAATCAATTAGTAAGGAAGAAAATAAAATAAAATTTATAAACTGCAAGAAACTTATAGCTGTTCATCTCCTACGCTTAGAAGAGAAGGTGAAAATG